CTGTTTAACAAAAGTCTACATAAAAAATCCTTGTTCATCTTATTTATTTACAACTTCAATGTTGCTCCAGAACTTATACATAGAGAGTTACAGACATTTAATCATACGTTTTAACGCCCCTGTTTTCATCTACCACATTTTGATACATGGAATGAAAACTCAAAAGTCAGAATCATGCGTTTTATATTGGATTGATTTAGGAACATAAACAGTTAAACACAAACACACATGAACATAAACAGTTAACGCACACACACACATACACATTGAGAAGATGTTAAAAAAACAACACACACATTAAAAAAAACACAAGAAGAAACAAAAGATAAACAAACAATTTAAAAGTAGTTTTTTTTATAAACTTACCGAATGGATTGAACTCTGTGATTGAAAAGAAGATTTTCCACTGTGATGATGCAAAACTTTAGAAGACGATGCTGTAAACTCAATATTGCAAGAGACAGTGATAACAGATGAATAGAATTGAGTTATACATAAAAAGTAATTTATAAAAATGATTTTTGGAAAAGATGTAAAAGTTTGATACATTCCTTGCAAAAATTACGTGAGCGAAGGAATGTTTGAAAAGTCTCTCCAAATTAACGTTATTTTTAAAGGGATTGACAGAATTTTGTTGATGATAATTAAGAAGGTTTATTTGAAATTAATACCTCCCTTGCAAAAATTACGTGAGCTTTTAAGTAGTTATTGACTTTCTTTAAATTCAGGGAAATTGATATATTGTATTTTCATTACGGATTTTTTAATTTAAAAGCAAAAAAAATTAGAATTTGCCAAGTGGAATTAAGGTAATTGGAAAAATAGATAAAATGCCATGTGGCATAGTGAATAAGGTGATGACATGTGCAATGTTATTTTCTTTTATTAGGGTAGATAGATTACTTTATTCTATAATATATGATTATATCTTATGTATTATTATTAAAATTTATACCTTTAAATAGAGTTTATAAGACCTCAAAAGATACCAATATTGAATATATTACAAACAGTTACGAAATTACAAGAACAATTAAAAACGATTATTACAATACGAATTAAGCGTATAATTTTAACAATTACACTACAAGTTAAACAGTAAACTTAATCATTAATTGAAATGTTACAAGTTTCACGTCGCATTGATCTTGGCTGGGAATTTGGACAATTTCTTATATTATGACCAGTTTGGTGACATAGTTTACTTTGTGAGGTTCGTCGGGATAACGAATGTCCATCTCGTTATGAAATCGATTTGCACGCCTCCGGCCTCTATGCACAGAAAGTTTTGAGTTATCTGTTTTAATCTTCCAATCCGACTCTAATAATAATCAATGAGAAAGTGGGACAAAAGCCGACGTATACTGTTGTTTTATACGTCATAGTAGTGTACACAGTATAACAATTAGAAATAGGGTTATCCCCTCTATAACCGCAATGCAATAGCATTGCGAACATGGAAATCTTTTCATTTGCCACTTACCACATGTGCATGTTTGTTGAAAAATAATGGACAGTGTATGTATTTCCTCCTTTGTCATTTATCTGTAACTTTGTGACAATTCTGTAGACACCTTCACTGTAGTCAAACTCGGTTAATGTATGGCTTTGTGCACAAGTTTCTCGCTTTCGAAAGAGACGCCACATACATGATGGTTAGAGGTGTATTGCAATTCATTGCAATTCACTGTACTTTGTAAAAAAGTTGTATAGTTCTATTGAATGTAAGGTCAATACACGCCCTGATAGGTAACTGTCTTGCTCCGCGAAGTGCATTGTTCAGACTCCAGAGATATTGTTGTCAAGAAACCCCATCGACGATTGTTTCATATATAAAAAACACCATTGGCTTCTTAATTTCCTTTAAATACTCACAAGCTTCAAGATGATATTTTTTTATTTCATTCATATACATAACAAACTTTCTTCTTTATGTGGGCTACCAATAGACCAACAAAACTTTTAAAGGCGCACATTCTTGTACCTTTGCATGAAATTACTATCATACACTTTGAACTTCTATTTTGGTTGATAGACCAAGTGTCATTGCCTTTTTTACTTGCAACTTACTTTCAAATTGCATTCCTAACATTATTTTTATTTTCTGACTCCTTCCAAACATCTATGTGAATGCGGTCTTCAAAAACCATATGTCACCGTCTCCATATCTCCAAATTACTCATAAAAGTTCATAACTGGAGTTTCACACACCCCATCATCATCAAAATCTTCCCCAACACTAATGACTCGCTATAGTATCTTCACTATATAATGAGTGGCTTCATCACAATCTCCCTCAAATGTACCACAATCAGGCAAAGGAAATGGTACATTTGATGGATTGGGTCCAACACCTCAAAATTGAAGGAGATCTACAAAAACAGTACTTGTAGGCGACATTATTTTTTTCAACTCAATTAAAACTTGACCCCAATAATTTGCAACATTCTCAGCCAAATAAACATTACGTCTAGACTTGAATCACTTATGACCCCGGCGAAATAGTGGATTGCCCTCCAAATGATAGCATAATGAGATATTCAACTTATGTGATGTTTTTTCAACTCCAACATGTGGCGAACCATAAATCTTTAACATACTTCATGCCCCATTTTGTGCCTAACAATATTGAAGTAGAGAAAGTTGAATGGTCTCCCTTTATGATACCATTCTCATATTTAATATTACCACCCCATATTAAATTAATCATAAACGGACGATCTAGAGTCATAATGATATATACCCAAATCTAACTGCAAAAATAAATCAAAATAAAAAGAGATATAATGAGTATGCTACATATGATAATTACTATTATTAAATATATGACATAAAGCCAATAATATGTACCTTGTTATGGATGAACAAATGTTGAAGAAAAAGAAGAAGGAAAGATTTAAGTTCAAGAATTGTAAGAGAAATCCATTTGCTAGGTTGGAAGAGATGAAAAATATCGATTATAAGAAAGAGATTTATAATTACAAAAAAAGTGAGATGATTTGACGATTCACTCAATTACTTCTACTGAGTTTTATCAACAGTTACATTTGAGTGTGCAGAAGAGTTTTGCTTTTGCAGTTGAGTAAAGACAAATAACATAGTTATAGAGTTTTCACAATAGTGACAACTCATGCTATACATTTTAGGCATTGTGGACTAAGTTTCTCATATTTAAATAATAAATAAACGATAATAAAAATATCATTACGAATATTATGATTTAGTGTTTAATTTAAATTCTAATTTAATGTATATTTTGAATGTAATATCGTTTATAGTTGATCTTTTAATTTTCCGACGTAATATATTTAATATTAATATCTATTGACGATATTTGTATCATTCATTTAATGGTATAACTACTTAAGATAATACATAAATTATAATTATATATTTTATAATAATTATTTATGTATAATATATAATGAATGTAAAATTTTGAATTAATCAATGAAAGATATAAATATATAGAAAAAACAATGAAAGTTAAGGGGTTACTTGAAAATATAATATATCATTGTCGGAATGAACGACAAATAGTGGGCCCAACTAAAAAAAAAAAAAAAAAAAAAAAAAAAAAAAAAAAAAGCCTATTTCTACAATACATTCTAAAACTAACCTATTTCTTATACTTTTTTGAAAACTAACCTATTTTACAAAAAAAAAATAAGTTGTATTTAACAGTTCTGACTTTTGCATACATGTGTTTAATAGCTTAGTGTAGCGAAAATCATGAATCTCGCTAGCTAGAGGCTAGGCTGAATACCTGATATGGGCGTATCTCAGAAAAATGTTATAACATGGTTCTGAAAAACATCAAGAAAAATATGGGACAGCTTTGGGAACTCATTGTCTCAAATATAGCAAAGTATATGTTATGTGTATGTTTACAAGTATATTAGTCTAAGTAATGAATGCTTCTTGTGAAGTGTATGTAAGATAATTTTATATCGTAATGGATAGTCGTATAGCCTTCATGTCCTATGAATATTGGCATGCAGCAAAAAACATAATGTATTGATTCATGTGCAATTCAAATTTTGAAAAAACTCATCTTAGTTATATAAAGTTAATTAAAAGACATTTATACTTGCATACACATGCTATTTTTCTCGATGTTTCAACCCATTATAAACGTATTTCTTTTAAGTTACTCATAGAATATTCGAACTTACCGTTATGATTTCTTTGTACATAATCATTGGTCTAACGTCGACAGTCGACCATAGTCCTTCTAGAACAGGAAGAATATGAGACGGAGGACGTTTCTCTCTCATCCATCTCATATTGACCTCTCATATTCATGTTTAGATTTCACGGTTTGCAGTTGCCAAGTGTTCTATTTATATTATCTACTATTCAGCTCAAAGTCACATGTATCCATAATATACAATATTTGATAGTAGCAATGAAATTGATTAAAATGCAATTAAAAGTATTATAAATTAACAATTAATATCTAGTTTTCATGAATGCGAAAACATAAATTGTAAATACTGTCTGCTAGAGAATACAGATGCATGTTTGCATTATAAATCTATGACGTTATACAATTTTTCTCTATAAATCTTGCAAAAAAAAGCTAAATGACAAACGTTATTCTTGGTCATATATTTCACTATAAAATGAAAATTTTCTACAATGGTGATGGGTTTAAAAGAAAGATAAGAAATTTGAGATTTTTTTTTTTTTTCGAAATGCTAAGGGAGAATGCAACACAAATTACGAAGGGAGTCATGACAAACAAACATCATGTGCATTCTATTCTAATGGTCCCCTAACCCCTCCAAAGGTTGGGCAGTAGTATCACAAATACATTCTTCTTTTAAAGAATACATGTGGAAATCATACGTTACTTTAAATGAACCAAACAATTACAACGCAATGAAAATTAAAAACAATTTGTCGAAACTCAATTCTTAAAACTGGATTTCATTATAATGTGATGATGAGTATCATTTGGTGAAGAAATTATGGTCGGATACCGATAAACGGTCTGCTTACATGTCGTTACCCATATCTACAAAACATACATTAAAATTTAATGTTTATTTTTAATATTATCATTTGTTTATTTTTTTTTTGTTTTGTTTATTTTTTTTTTTTTTTGGAAAGAATGGTCTCCCTAACGAGGGTGTCTGCCTACTTTATGTGCACCACGACTATTCCCCGTAAAAACATAAGGTTATGCATCATGCCTTAGAGTTATCGGAAACGAACCGTCATGGCCAAGCAAAAGGAAACAACTGGATTAGGTAGAAGTCACGTAAATGGTATACCATCTATATCCCCCATAGTGTTTCATTGATAGGCCGCTACTCAAATGGTTCATTATAATTCTATGTTAAAAACTTGTTATCTTATGTCCATTTGTTCTGACTTGAGACGTATATCAAATCAACTCATAATATATATATATATTATATATATATATATATATATATATATATATATATATATATATATATATATTTATGGATTTGTCAACTCAAATAAGATTCTCAAACTTGGTTGACCAGCTTGTTAATATAGTCTAGGTATGGTCACATACAACATTTTCGATTCATCAAGAGACCTAGTGATATCACACTCCAACAAGTAGATGATCAAATTGTCTTGAATATATACTATCATCATAAGCTTCACATTGTACTTGACATTAACATCTATAACTATTTTGTTCAAGACAAAGTTTAACTACAACAATGTATAATGATTCAATCATTCAAAAGTCAACATATATCGTGGGTCATACATACATGATCATTTTCAAGATTCACCCTGATGACGTCGATCCATGAAGTGACATCTTGAGTTTGGGCCAATCCAGTATTTACCATTAATGATTACCTGTGAATTTAACTCTTAACAAGAATCATATCCATCAATGATGAATATTTATTAACATTCACATTAGTCTTAGTTCATTGTTATTCCTATAAGATGATTGACAATATATATCTTGAATAATCAGTTGTTATTCATTGATTAAACATTCTAATATAGAACACAATAATATGCATGCAAACAATCATACAATGTATATTAATTCATGACCTTAAAAAATGTTTAATGTTTCAATATCTAAATATTGAAGTTTACATATAAAAACTAGCTACTAGTGCAATGAAGTTAGATCTGAAAATTTGTGTATTTGTGTCGTTCTCATATGTTAGACACAACACAAATAGATGAAGAGAAATAAGTTATTATCTAATTTTCAAGATATATTTGTGTCGTGTCGTGTCACACACAAATTCATGTATTCGTGTATTGAATTTCCAAGTCTAAATGAAGTTTAATTCCTACGACATGATCACCATGATTAACACGAGGCATGAGCTTTGCAAGCGAATGAGACTTTTTTTTTATGAACTATTAGGAACAATACTATAGTCATGTCTTCCGGACAAAGTGAAATCCTTTCATAATGCATCGACTACCATGAGTTATTATAAGTTCCTTTGCAAATACCATAGTAACAATATTTTCATAACACATCAACATAGGTACTTTATTGTTATGAACTACGACGAGTCATCAACGAACTTCATACCTATAGGTTGTAGAGTTGCATATTGTGTGATGATGTATTTGATTCCTTATAAACTACACTTCCTATGCTATGTTTGGAATTACATCAATCAATTGTATCTCCCTTCATAATGATGATATTGTCAGATTTAGATTGAGAATCGTCTCAATTAGGTTGGAAGCTCACATTATCATAACATTGTACATTATTCAAATCTCCATAAAGTAAAAATATATCTCCAGTCCTTTGATGGTACTTAAGAATATTATTTGTAGTACTGTAGTGACAACCATCTAGTTTCTATTGTACTGCTCATCATACATAAGACATGTAGTATATCTGGTATAGTACATAACACAAAATTTATGATAGATATAATAGTAGAAGAATAAAACGAACTATTCAGGTGTCTTACCTTATCAGGTGTGGTAGGACATTAAGATTGTTACAATGGAAAGGTTACAAGTTTGGAGTCTTGCATCTTAAACCGTTTCAATATTTTAATGTTTTACTTTGACTCAGACCAATTTAGCCGCCTAGATCTATCCATATAAATCTTGATTCCTATGATAAATATTGTTTATCTTATATATTTTACTTTCAGAATAATAGCCTGTGTAGGCAAGGTGGCATACCGGTTAGAGTTGTCTGAGGATTGAGACAGATTCATGACACCTTCCATTTTTTCAGTTGAGGAAGTGTGTAGCCGATGACTCAGCTGTGGTTCCTTTAGAGGACATTCAGGTCGATGGTCACCTGAATTACATCGAGAGGCCGCTGCCGATTCTGGATAGGAAGGTGAAGACCTTGAGGAACAAGGTAGTAAACTTGGTCAAATTTCAGTGGCAACATCAGAAATGCTTGGAGTGGAATTGGGAATGGGAGCCCGATGCTGAGATGCGAGAACATTATCCTGATCTCTTCGTTGAGGCTGACTTCGAGGATGAAGTCTGATTCTAGTGGGGGAGAATTGTGACACCTGATGTCAATATTTTCATTTAAGTCTTTATATCGTAATTGTTGCAAGCAAGACACTTACGTTGGAATACAAAGCTGTATGTCGGGCGTAAGTCAGCAGATTTATGGTGGGTCAAAGGTAGAGTACGCTGGGTTACATGTGAGTACGTTGGGCATACTCGT